CGTTGTCACGGCATCACGTGTGAACGGCTGAACCGATTTCGATAATTCTTTTTTTTTAATGTTTGTGGAAGTCCAAGGATGGTTCTTACGGAAAAAAATATTAAGAAAATCTCTACACTAAGGCGGTACGAAGTTCGCCGGGTCAGCTAGTACATAATAAAAGAGTTTCATTCATTTTCTCCAAAACCAAGTTAAAAGACATTGAGAAGTTATCAAGTACATAATATGTCCTTTGCTAAATGACATGTCCTTATTCAAGATTGAATAAACAGATTACAACACCCCGACTAGGCCATTTTGAATGTATATGTTACGGCTAAAGATAGTTGTGAACATAAACTTAAGACTAGCCGGCTAAACTTAAGTTTATCTTCTAGAAGCAGCTAAAGTTCGATAACATGTTAGTTTGCGTCGTGATATTCCTTCTTTAGCCGGCTAATGTGCACATTAGCCAAAACGAAACGGCTAAAAATGTATTCGATGGGCGCGCCAGGCCGGCGGAGGGCTTGAGGGGGCGGTGGGGAACAACGCGCGCGCATATTTATTTTGTTTTATTTTGTAATTTTAAATAGCTACAGAAGATTCTGTAATGACCAAATGGTTCCTTATTATTTTATTTTAATGATTAGGTAGATATTGTTTGAAGTAATTAATATTTTGTTATTGTAATTTTGAATACCTACATAGGTACATAAAAGTATGTGTAATGAAAGTGATTATTTTTTAATAAAGTTTTCATGTCAAAATAGTAAACATTATTACATTGTTTCCTATTCCATTTCCTTCTACATTTTTAGCCAAGGGCCTGCGGTTACACTTATGTTCAGCCGGCTAAAGATAGAAGAAACTAACATTAACACCTCATTGAAGATGAACTTAAGTTTAGCCGGTTAAACTTGAGTTTATGTTCACACCTATCTTTAGCCGTAACATATAAAAGAGAATTATCTTAACCCAAGCGTGATCTTTCGCTAAGTATTAATTAGAAACAATTTAGAATTAATTAGTAACTAATTCATCAATTGAAACAGCAACACAGGGGCAATTAAACGATAAAAAGATAACAATAACAATGCAAAGTTACAATAAAGTTCAGTTAATTATATCATATCAGGAGTAGGAAGTTTAATATTCACTTAAATAAGCTTTACCTATAACACCTTACTAAGTCTAGCTACGTCATAACTAAGGGCCAGTTTTTTTATCCCCAGCTAAAACAACTAATAAGTACCTATGCAAAGTAATATCCTGAAAAATATATGAAACTTTTATAGATTCCAATAATCATAGGTAATAATGTGGAAGTTCACATCCTACTATCAAAGTAGGTGTTAAGTAAACAAAAATACTTCTAATTTTAACGTCTAGCTAAGTAGTATAGTAATTCTTAGCTTATTGACGTCAGTTACCTTACTATTGTGGCTTTTTCGCAAGTTTAAAAATACTTTTGTTTGTCACCACTCAGTTCAGGTTCATTTTCTTCGTTTCTTTATTGCATGTCGACTCTACAGGCAAAAACTCTACGTTCTACACTATAGAGTATGATTTAAGTTTCGGATGAGGCTGCGTTTGAAGAATTTATCACGGCGATTCGATGCAAAGAAGCAAAGTCACATCAGAATCAGATCGACTGCATGTGAGGCCTTTCATCTAGTCTAGAAAACCTCACGCTCTCCCCGCTCCATTTGACATTCATTCCTAATTTCTGTTCGCTATTTACACAGTAGATAAATCAAACAGTACGGAAGCTTCATACAAACGCTCGAAATCAGACTCACGCACACAGACGCACGCTTTACACGAGCTCTAAGCGAACCTCGCAGTCCATCCGTCGCGAGTGTCGCGCGCGTTGTGTTTTTAATAATAATTTTATTGCATGCACTGTCCGCTGTATTTTTAAAAAAACATGCCACGAGTGTATTGCGTAGTATACGGCTTGAACTCGGCATCTTCAAAACCAGAACTTTCATTTTTTAAACTTCGTAATAATTCTGAATTGTAAAAATGATTAAATATTACTTTTTAAATAAAGTGCTTACATCTGATTTTGTAATAGTTCTTTTTAAATTACGTAATTACGCTTTTTAACAATTTATGTGTTCTATTTGATAAAGTAATTTGCTCCGCGCGCTTTTGTACTAAGTGATGAACTGTATTTAAAATGAGGCAATAGCTATGTGAAAGTAAGTATCCGGTATTTTATTTATGAGAATAGAATATCTTCTACCGGCCTCTAATAGTACTTAATCAATTTATTCGATTATGTATTCGATCATTATAGAACCAAATTAACGTTTTATTTTTTTGTTAACTACTTAGTCAATTAATTTATTCCATTAGGTATTTGATAATTAAAAAACCTAAATAAACGTTTTAATAAATAAGTAAGTCAGAACCTTATTAATTTTATAAAGATTAAGAGTGCCAACCCTAACACTCAGTTGAAGTGTAGGTATTTAACTCGCCGAAAGGGCTAAGTTTCCGTACTGCTTTAGCTCATATATCTACTGTGCTATTTAGCAATTGAACACATTTTTCACTAGGAATTGTATAGTAATTTTTTACTTTTCCGGTAACACATACAACATACCTGCACATATTTAAAAGTAATCTGTGCGGTTATTGTACCGAGGAAATTAAATTCTTTTTTGCTTGTGACCTCCTTTTTAAAGACGTCATAGGTACATGTCCTATATGAGGGCCGCGGGGACTGATGCTATAGATGACCCACGCTGAACTGTCCCACCAAACTCAATGACAGGGGGGCGCTACCATCGTTCAACCACAGATAATATAATACTAGTACAGATGCATCATCCCATACTGGAAATGTNGGTTCAACTATATGGTTTCCAACATGGCAAAAATCGGAACCAGCGATCCGGTATTGACGGTGGCGCCCCACTGTCAATGTCATGGATAGGACAGTTCAGTATTTTGGAACTATATGAGGGCCGCGGGGACTGATGCTATCCCCCACTGTCACCAATACCAACTTACCAAGGCCAGATATTGCAATACGAGTGCAGGGTAAACCCCCGCTACTAGCTACTGGCAGTTGACATTGAAAAATTTTGAATGGAATGGAGAGCTAGAATCTTACGGTCATTGCCAAGTGAATTATTTTACTTAGATATTTTTCTAATTTCTTTTATATTCATCAAATCTGGCTGACGTACGCTTTCACGCTTAATAAACCACTGAACCGATTTTGATGAAAAGCATAGAGATAGTTTGAGACCGGGGAAAGGATTAGGATAGTTAGATATTTAACATTAAGATTTATCCCGGTTTTTGAAACAGGGACGCGCGCAATAAAGTTTTTCTATGACAGACAAAATTTCACGCGGGCGAAGCCACGGGCAAAAGCTACTTGTTGATAGGGTTTCTGCTCGAGCTTTCTCGAACTCGAGAAAACTCGAGAAATTTGGCTTCATTCGAGACGAGAAAAAAATTACCGGAGCTCGAGAATTCTCGAGTTTCGATTTTGAAGCTTTAATATTCTTGAAAACCTATTTTCTTAGACAAAAGTAAGTGTTTAATTATTTAATTGGTTAACGTTGCGTTTATACTTGCCTAGTCTTTCCTTTTTTTAACTAATTTGATTTGCAATTAATGATCTTAACCGAAACTAATAATGATCACCTACGAGTATGCTATATTTTATTATGTTTGTATAACTGACTGATTTAAAGACTGTTTTTTTTTATTAATATCTGTTAGTTTAGGTACTCGTAAATACGTTTATTCAAGTCATTATGTTTAAGTTTAAAAATGTATTTAAAGGTTTTTTTTTTGTTTGTAAATGCAGGTTTATTATCGTAATTTTTCAATTAATTTGGACTTGTGTTCTTTGGAAAACAAGTGATTCAATTGGAGCTCCAGATATTTATGGTTATTAATCCTTAAAGTACACGCGACTTTTTGATTTTTGTTCCTTTAGTTAATTACTAAGTTATAATTATCCTACTAATATTATAAATGCGAAAGTTTGTGTGGATGTCTGGATGTTTGTTACTCTTTTACGCAAAAACTAGTGAACGGATTTTGTTGAAACTTTACAGTATCATTAATTATAACCCAGACACATTATAACATTAATAAAAACCCGTGTTTTTATTAAATTTCAACCGATTTCAACAGTTTTAATTAAAAGACTCGAGACCCGAGAAAACTCGAGACTTTGGCCTCGAGAATTCCCGAAACTCGAGAAAAAAAATAAGTCGAGAAATCAGAAACCCTACTTGTTGATAATATCTGGTGAAATTGCAAGTTTAGTTCTTCCTGAAGGAATCGACGTACTTACTTTTCAGTGTGAATTTATTTCGATAATATTTGTATTGTTTGGAAGTTCTACTCGTAACATTTTGGTTCTGTTTATTGTGGGGAGGAAGGAGGAGGCCTGAAATTCAGGGTGGCCCTAGTTTAAGCTCCAGAATCTAGATCGCACACTCGGAGCAAAATTGCTATTTTTATTACTTTAATGTGCCCAAAAAGTGTGTCTGTTAAATAAACAATTATTATTTTTATTACCAGCTTTCCGCCCGCGGCTTCGCCCGCGTGGAATTTTGTCTGTCACAGAAAAACTTTATCGCGCGCGTTCCTCTTTTTAAACCGGGATAAAAACCCGGGACTCAAACTATCTCTATGCCAAATTTCATCAAAATAGCTTCAGTGGTTTAGGCGTGAAAGCAAGACAGACGAGTTACTTTTGCATTTATAATATTAGTATATACATTTGCATCTCTCCTGTCGATAATCTCAGCGCGGAGGCCGGTCTTTAAGGAAGGCGTACGTGGAATACATATCCAACACAAAGAGGCCCCTTCGAGATAGTATAATGTTTATTATTATAATAATAAACGCCTTCCAAAAGAACCGGCCTCCGCGCCGTGCTTATCCACAGGAGATACAAATAATATTAATAATATCGTTTATTATCATCACGCGACCAAAGCTGTGGTCAAAGCTGCAGCAGATTAATCACTGCTATCAGTGATTGTTAAACGAGATGTATTCGATGGACATTCAGCAAGCGGTTCATTTGTCAACTCGTGCCTAAACGCGGCCGACGCCTGCTTATCAACCTTGCCACTTAGCTAGGGCAGGTCAACTTTGCCGAAGTAAATAGTCGCCGAAGTAATAGTAAATAAAGTGAGTGTGTGGGGTGAAGTTTTTCAATTTATTGGACACAAAGAGGGGTAAGCTTTAATAATATTTATGTAGTTTTTTTATGGTTTAGTGTTTTTTAATTTTTCTTTAACGTTAATTTTAAGGTGTATTTTCCAATTTTGTGAGAGTAGGTGATAAATAGGAGTAGATTTTTAAATAACTTGATTTTTATGTAGGTAGTTCTCTTTTTTATGTGTAGCTGTCAAAAGTTTTCTGAGCCAAATATCATTAAAAAACGAATTGTATTTATTTCACAACATTAAAACACAAGATTTTGTGACTATTTAAAAGTAAAGTATTGAATAAAATAATTTAATTTGAAATGCAAAAAAGCTCTATAAAAACATGTTCCTGGCGATTATTAAAAATAAGTTAAAATGTCGAACATGTTAAAAAATGCATATTTTCGAAGATGTCATCATGTAATCTTAATAATAAGTATTAGTTAAAAATATAGGGAGGCCCCTTTAAATATTTACTTTATTATATTTTATTTGTTGTTATAACGGCAACAGAAACACAATATCATCTATGAAAATTTCAACTTCTAACTATCACGGTTCATGAGATACAACATGACTCTTAGTAGTAATAGAGTCCCGTTTTTACCCTATTTTACGGAACCCTAAAATGCGATGTTAACTAATATTTTTTACATACAGATGTTTTTTTATTGTTTATGGCGAATTATTTTGTATGGTATAAGAATGAAAATACCTAATTAGTCCAGTCAAATTAGGGAATCGCAATGTGAGAAAATAACCTGAATTTCCGTATACCCTCTATTTTGATGTTCTGAAAGTTGTCGTGTATGTTTTAAATCATTTACGGGCATTGCCAAGTGAATGGCTTTACTTTAGTCAATGTTTGTTTTTATTTTATTTTATTCGAAAATTCAGCTTAAAACCTGACATTCCGAGGTTGACTCCTTTTTAATGATAATTTGAATGGACTATAAATGCCATTTTGATTGTTATAAATGAATTTATTAATACCTAAAGTACTTTTGGAACACGTTATAATATATTTTATTTTGGATACATTAATTTATTTGTAACATTAATGTGCATGTAAATGTATATTTTATCAAAAATTTAAGTTAAGAAAGCAGTACCCGCGGTTGATAGGTCTACTTAGGTAAGTACTTATTGAACTAACGACTTATTTTTTTTAATGATATCGTGGTGGGAATTTGTTTTAATTTGCGAACTTAACTAACAATAAGTGGTGACTGAGTTTGTTCCGGCGTTTCTTCTCAGCACTTGCCATTATGTTTGTCTCGAAGCGCTGGTAGGGCCCAAAAGATAAGGAGACATGTAAAGTGCCCCATAAGGGCTACATTTTCTTTTTTTATATTTGACGTTCATAAGTGCCACTTGTGGTTTAAACTGAATAAATATTTTTGATTTTGATTTTGAACATAGTTATTTACACGAAAAATTTGTCGTCAAAATCAGACAGGTGAATCGTCAATTGTCTACTCTCCTACGAGCCTTTTAATCTCCATGCTTGAAATTAAATGAGTATCATATTTTTTAAAGGACGGGGTCCTTAAACTTTCCATAGCCCTAAAATGTCGTTTATGCATTTATCCTTGAAAAGTTTAGGCCGATTCTGGTTATGCTAATACTGTTTAGGTTCTCTATATTCGGTTAAAGCCGGTATTCGGACAGGGCCGGGCGTAATTGGGCTGAGTATATGCCCGCTTATTTGACCGCGATCTCACACGAACACGATGTGGCCAAGTGGTTAGAGAGTAGTAATTATCAGGAGGTTCTGGGTTTGATTACCAGGAGATAAGCCTTCAAACAGCACGTGAAGCTGTCAAACTTAATGTCAACAAGGTTGTGACCTCAATTCTGATGCAAAAAGACAAAATATAAATTAATTTGATGTTGTTAGTTGCAACATCTCGTAAAATGTAGAGCACAGAGAGTCTGAGAGTTCGCGATCCGAAGTACGATTCCCAGATCGAGCCAAGAGAGATATTATATACATTGTAGTGTCCACTTTGGTAAAGATATTAATTGACATCGATTCATAGAGCCAAAATAACAATATTGGAAAATTCTTAATGGAATTTTGTTAATCTTTTTAATTCGCAGGTCCATAAAATGGAGTATAGCAAAACAAAACGGAAAGATGGGGTACGAATTCCAACAAAACACGTCAAAAGTAAGTGTTAATTTAATTATTACCCACTGACATTAGTATTAATTGACACATCTATTGCGTTAAATCTATTATTTTGTAAGTCAACATCCGCTACATTATGGAACGCAAACGCCTTAAAAAATAACGTTTATGTTGAAGGTAAATATACATAGAATAGAAGAACCTACTTGTAGTAGGTACATCAATATTTTAAAAATCTTTTAACGCTAGATTATTCCAAGAGTTTAGTTCCCATTTCACCATGGATTTTAGTCAAAAGGTTTAAGTCATGCTTCATAGACCTAATCCTAAGTCGGGTTTAGTTGAGAGGCAAATAATTAACTACAAATAGACAGACTTTTAACTTACGACATAGCTCTCGCTTATCAAAGATCTTGCTAGGACGCAGAGACCTGTCTACGACGAACGTTGAAATATTTAAAAGGTACAGCGATACGTGTTTTTCGATGTATAAGTAGACCACTATTTTTAGAAGTGCTAGACTTTTTTTTCTTTTTATTAAGGAAACAAACAGAAGATTATCGGAAGATTCAAGAGAAAACATTAGAACGAGTAAGAAATGATGCCCATTAAACCTTACGTTTAATCACGCGGATAATTATTAGAAATTATGTCCACCACTTCAATTGATCGCTAATCATTGTCACTTTATCTTTACGATCAAGCCTAGACTGTAAACTGTTTGTATACTTATTACAAATAGATAAATAAATAAGTTGTTAATGTAACATGTAAAATTTTTATAAAGTTAAGTAATAGGTAAAATATTTTTAACGAGAAGGCTAAATACGAGTAGGCATAGTTCCAACCTTGCTAAAATATTTTGCAACCTACTAAGTAGGTATAGATGAATAGAATTCAACGTCGCTTTTCGAATTAATATCTTGGTTTTTTTTCAAACGGGCAGCTAGATATTATTATTATGAGTTGATTGACCTCTGTCGCAGAATTTTTTGAGCACAGATACAGGCCAAGAGCTTTCTCGTTCCTCGTTGTGGATAAAAAAACATGCTACTTAAGTGGTTACGTGAAAATTGCAATCATCATAATATTTTTAGATAATATGCGCTAACCGTTCGAAAAGGCTTGAAAAGTATATTTATACAAAAAACGAAAGGTCACTAACTGACTCACTCATCAACTGACAGAAATATCAGAAACTGCAAGTGCTAGGAGTATCAAATTTTGCATGGGGTTCCTTTAGAACGTAGGTGTTCACTAAGACGGGATTTTGCAAAATTCAATCCCTAAGAGGGTAAAACGGGATCCACGCGTACGAAGTCGCGGGCGGCCGTTAGTACTTAATACATACAACGTATGTATTCATATTATGTCGTCAGTCTGTTTATGTCTCAATTGACTACACTTTTACTTTCAGGAAAACTGATGACATTTCTCCCACTGAGTGCGGTCTGCGTTGCTGTTGCCATATTGCTCATATACGTCGACGCAATTCAAATTATCGCTAATTATGTAAGTTATGTTTACAAATATATTCTAATACATAAATTTATTTTTAAAGTGTAAGGTCAGATTCGTATTGGAAAGATATTAAGGAATGTGGACCATGAACAAGACATTGTACATCCAAGTCTGTGCCCAAGACGTATTCATATTTTTTTTGCAATACACTCGCGAGCAAAAGTATGGAATCACTTACATGAAGTTGTTTCCACGCGATCTTGTGTACTAACGAATTTGTTAGGAACAAAAAAAGTGGCACCATTTTAAAGATTAAACTTTTATCTTTAAATTGATACCAAATTCATTTAAATCACACCAGTATTTAAAAAGATATCCCGGCTGATGTGAAGAAGTAACGAAAAAGACATGTATGAACTGTTTGATACGTCGCGAGTTGCGGCCTATTTACCCCCTATAAAAGCACGCGTTTTCGGATTTTTGCTTTCACACGTTGATTCATACACATCTCCGCTTCTTTTGACATTTTACCTGGGATTCTACACCTTCAGAATCAGCACAAATCGTTGCACTATTGCAAGAAGGGCTCAGCCATCGGGCTGTCGCACGTCAGCGCCACATAAGCCAGTCCTGGGTTTCTAAATCACACTAGTATTTAAAAAGATGTCCGCCGGGATATCTTTTTAAATACTAGTGTGATTTAAATGAATTTGGTATCAATTTAAAGATAAAAGTTTAATCTTTAAAATGGTGCCACTTTTTTTGTTACTGACAAATTCGTTAGTACACAAGTTCGCGTGGAAACAACTTCATGTAAGTGATTCCATAGTTTTGCTCGCGAGTGTAGTATGATGATATGATAACACATGTCATGTTCGATTTAGTAAGTATTTAGGTAGTTAATGTTTTTTCTTTGCGTGAAATAAAATTATTTCTATTCTATTTTATTTAATAAGCTGGAAGCTGATTGCGACGAGCCGAATAGAAGGAAGAAAGACTCTTATCCAGCAGTGGATTACTATAGGCTGATGATCATAATTTAAGATTTTAAACATTCGCGTTCCTTTTCAAATAGAGAAACACGGGTTGACAACGCTACATTTTTTATAGAGCAGACTCAAGTCAGTCTGCTTGTCCCCACGGCTGCAGCATAGCAGCCGAAACGTCAAGCCGTGTGTAACATAATATGTAACTCATATAAAAAATGTCGCGTTAATTGTCCACATTGATGCAACTGTACGTTTTGTTGTGTCCAGCGGACCCACCTGACGTACGGCTCCGAGATCCACGAGCTGCTGAGCCTGGAAGCACACGGCATCCACGTGTCGGCCTACCTGTTCAACGTGACCAATGGAGACGCCTTCCTGAGCGGAGAAGATGACAAGATGAAGGTGGAAGAAATCGGCCCCTTTACTTACAAGTAAGTTGGACTTCTAGTAGGTACGTTTAGCCTGGATGTGGGATTTGTAGGTACTCTACATATACATATTTTAGGTATATTCTGGAGGGTAGCCAAAGAATTAATCCAACCGCCGAATAGGCGATGCCGCGAGCCAGACGAAAAAAAACTGCAAATGAAGAAAATCGCTTTTTTTCGCATACGAGTACATCTAAGTTGTAACGAAGATTTATTTTACTTCTGGTGAGTGGGTCCAGCTTTTGAGGATCAGATTCTGAAGACTGAGATCCAGAACCTTTCCAAAGACAACGGCGTGACGAGTGTCTGAATGCAAATACAGCAAGCTGAGGCTACAGATGGGGAGACATTCATTTTAAGTTAAGGAAACTTCCCTTCATAGTCCAATGCAGGAAGCAGTAATTTATGGACCCACTCCATCAATAAGTTAAATACACGTTCTATAAAATGTTCAATGGTATTCCGAACTAGGCTACCACATAAAGTCGCAATCATAAAGAAGAAAAACAGCTATTTTACCTCTTACAGGACAACTTTTCACATAATTCTTATTTCCAAGGCACACATTAACCCTTTATTATTTGCACTAACTGCCCCATAAACTGTAAACTCATATTTATGAGATTTGCGGTTAACCTTCTATCACATAATTACTACTTGGTCCAAAATAATCACGACTCTATGATCAGGTTAGAAGTTCATTTATTCACTACAGTCTCTTGTCCTACTTTATAGCAATTGATTACTCAAACATTACGTGGCTTTTAATAAAATCGAGAAAATATCTCAAAGTGCTTGTTATGTCATATTAAGATGTGTCATTTATTATTTATGACCAAGTATTATCTCGAGGCGCTTGCACTTGCAAAGGTCTATGTATATTCATAGCTCTGTTTTGCATAAATATTAGTTAATTTGCAGTAGACATATTAATTAGAGTAATAATTCCACCTGGTGCAACACTTTTAAAAATACGAAATAAACCTCTGTTTATGTGGTCGTCCTTGCTCATAAAATAGCTGTAGGTGTCCTATTTATTAAAAAATAAAATAAAGTCGTATACCTGTTTTTATTATGCTCGTAAAATTTTCGATATTGCGATACAGTTGCATGCACCATTGTCATGTTCACGGAAGAATTGTAAAATAATTAATAAAATAAATAATAAATAACCGTAGCGATACTGAAAGTTTACAAGACCTATAAAACCCTACACATTGTTCCTATTATACATTATATGTATTTCGGCCATGAGGCTATTAGTACGTAGTGGTAGTACTCATTATTATACTCGTACTATGCTATTAGAGAGAGGGGAAGATTTGGCTAAGGAGGGAGATTTCCCTTTTGACACTATTACTTACTACTTGTTCAATAGGGACAATTCCCTATCGAATTCTGGCTTCCCTACAGCAATCTGTAGGGAAGCCAGAATTCGACCTCCATGGAATCATCATCATCATCATCATTTCAGCCATAGGACGTCCACTGCTGAACATAGGCCTCCTCCCCCACTGCTTTCCACGTTGATCGATTAGTAGCGGCCTGCGTCCAGCGCTTCCCTGCTACCTTTACGATGTCGTCGGTCCTCCTTGTATGTGGACGTCTCACGCTGCGTTTTCCGGTACGCGGCCTCCATTCCAGAACCTTGCTGCCCCATCGGCCGTCAGTTCTGCGTACTATGTGCCCTGCCAATTGCCACTTCAGCTTGCTATTCAGCGGACTATGTCAGCGACTTTAGTTCGTTTACGGATTTCCTCATTTCTGATTCGATCCTCGCAAAGAAACAACAAGCATAGCCCTCTCCATAGCACGCTGTCAAACTTTGAGCTTCTGTATAAGGCCTATAGTGAGAGGCCACGTTTCCGAGCCATAAGTTATCACTGGTAACACAAATTGGTTGTAGACTTTCGTCTTCAGGCACTGAGCTATTTTGGACGAAAAGATGTTGCGTAGTTTCCCGAACGCTGCCCAGCCGTGACGAGACTAAAAGTTAGCTCCATGGAATAAGAAAGGTCAACATATAATAGTTTTTTTCCATCCTTTAGGGAGCTCCGCAGTAATTTGGACATCGAGTTCGACGAGGAGGCGAGGGTGGTGCGGTACTCTCCTCTAGCCAAGCCGGTGTTCATGCCCGACGAGTCCATAGCGCACCCTCGGGACGTGGTGGTCACCATGCCGAACATTGCTATGCTGGTGAGTTGGTTTTTCAATTAGGATCTTCTTCTACTTCCTCGGTCCCTCAGTGATGAGGATTGCGACCACATTAGTGTTCCTCCACAGACTGCGGTCATAAGCTGTGTGGACGTTATCTTCATCATCATCATCATCATTTCAGCCATAGGACGTCCACTGCTGAACATAGGCCTCCCCCAATGCTTTCCATGTTGATCGATTGGTAGCGGCCTGTGTGGACGTACTCCTAATTAATGTTAAATTAACTAGGATCTACTCCCTGTTAAGAGGTGCCTTGAGCAACGCGTACTTAGTATCTTATTTTGTTATTATCTTGGCAGCCGATAACCATAACCTATCAAAAAAGTGAAATTTGCTTCTACTAGCTTAATTGCTTGCTATAGTAAATTCTTCACTAACTAAAAAAATAAGTAATAGAGACGAAATATGGCGAAACTATGTAAACAATTCGTGCGGTAATTTGGATGAACTAATATCACTTATGACTTACGAAGTCTTTGGAGTGTTTTTTGGGCTTGTTATTCTTGATGGTCTTAATATTCTTATTCTAATTTTAGCTTGTTTTTAGGGTTCCTTACAGGGAACAACTGCAAATTGGAAATCTTATCAGGATCATAATCGTGGAGGTATCGAGTTGAATTTAAAATACTTATGTCTAAGCTAATCCCTTGACGCCGTGAAAAAAAACTTTCTTAATTGAATGGAACCAACTACATATTTACCTACAATTTTGAAGGGAACACGGTGTGCGATTCGCACTTGGCCCATTTTTTCAAACGTGTTGTTTATTATTGTACCATAAGTAATTAGGGATATACCTGTTATTGGTCAGACTCTTAGTCTATTTTTAACGTTCTAAACATTAGACTAAAAAACTTAGGCACTACGTCGTGCAAGAGTGATCGCTAATATTAATAACGAAGCTCTATGTAAACACATTTTTTCACACATGCCAGCTGCGCTGGTGAGATAAGCTGCAATTCTTTTTAAATTATGACCACATTTTATTTTACCACACTATTTCAGTGAATAACTAAGCTTTGAATCTTCCGTACTTTCCAGGCCATGTCATCTATGACCAGTAAGGAGCCGTACTTCACTCAATTGGCGTTCAAGCTACTCCTCAACCACCTGAAAACAAAATCCTTAGTGAACCAGACTGCCGAGGAGTTCCTCTGGGGGTACGACGAACCTCTCATCAAGCTTGGGAACACCATCCTGCCGGGGTGGATCAGCTTTGAGAAGCTTGGCCTTATGGATAGAGTAAGTACCTGGCCTATTCCACTAGGGTTCATACAAACAAACAAGAGGCACGTGTAAAAGTACTTTTTAAAAGCCTATTTGCAATAATGAGTATAGATTTTTTTATGAGTAGTATGCATTTTTTTTCAGTAGTTTTTTGAGAAATTTTATGTAGAGCAGGGTTGACAAACCTTGGTATTTGAAAATCAGCTTTCTACGATACAACAAACAATGTTGTGAGAATTTTTCTATCAACAACAACTTGATAACACTTTCTGTGTCAGACTGAACAAAAAAATAAGTTATGGACTACTGCTTACACCCAGCGTCTAGTTAGGACTGAAAACTTTACAAATCTGTTTGTTGCAGTTGTACGATACAAAAACGGAGTACCGTCTAGAAGTTGCCATGGATCAGTTCGAAAAATTCCACATCTTGAAGATGAATGGGGTCCAAGGGCTCAAGGTATGGGACTTTGAAGACCCCACGAAGCGGTAATTCAATATTTTGAAAAACAAATAATTTGCGCCCTGCACAAACCAACTTTGAAATAAACACTATGGTTAAAGCAATCTTCTATAGAAGAAAGAACTGAAATTCTTGATAACACAAGCGATAAACAGACTCTGTTTAACCATATAATCTATGCATACTATACTAATAGCATAAATGCGAAAGTAACTCTGTCTGTCTGTCTGTCTTGCTTTCACGCTTATGAAATTGATGAAATTTGGCATACAGATAGTTTGAGTCCCGGGAAAGGACATAGGATAGTGTTTATCCCGGTTTTTGAAACAGGGACGAGCGCGATAAAGCTTTTCTGTGACAGACAAAATACCACGCGGGCGAAGCCGCGGGCGGAATGCTAGTATTTCAATACGCAAAAGGTTTTTGACCCAAAGACACCACGTGCGATTGCGGTCAAATACCTGTCTTGGTATGCATAAAAAAGGGTATAGCTTATACCTCCGAAAAGGACACCTAATTATTTCGAAATTCAAGCAGCTGGGTGTCTAATAAGATAAGCCAGTTACTTATTACTGTTGTTCTTCCAGCTCCAAATGTAACTCCTTTGCCGACGCTTATGAAGGCATCATGTATCCCAACGAGATGAAGCCAGGAACCTCACTGAAGATCTTCAGGAATGTATTATGCCGGTTCCTCCCACTAGACTACCAGGGGAAGCTGACCCTGGAAACTGGGGTGGACGCTTTGCAGTACAAGGTCAGCAAGACGACTTACGACATCAACAATGAAACCGAGTGCCTCTGCGGGAGAGGCATGTGCATCAGTGGAGTCTCTGACTTGTCCCCTTGTTATTACAGTAAGTATTTAATTTAGTCTTTAATACTGAAAATATTTATAACACTGACCTACCTACGAACATGTTTACTTGCAAATAAATGATTATTATTATTACGATGGAACAAACTCTAGCTTCTAAGGCCCAGAACACACAGTGAAACGCAACTGCAACAAAACTGCAACTTCTAGTTACTTTTGAGTTGCATCTAAGTTTCTGCCATAGCGTCTGTTGAGAGACCTCACATGACGCGACCAGTTTGAAACCGGTTTGAAACACGTTGCAAATCAGTCGAATTGAAACCGTCGTGCAGGAAACTCGCGTTGCGTTTCATTCATCGGATTTGGCTTCTTTTGGCTGACGACGAACAAAAAAACATTACATTTGTGTTAGAAGTGGAAAAGTATCCTTGCTTGTATAATAACACACTATCAAGCTACTCTCGCTCTCAAAGAACTCATTTTGCAGACGTCTGTTCTCAAAGAAAACCGAAATGATTGTGGTTGCAGCGTGTGTGGAAAATGGTTGAAACTGGTTTCAAATCAATAATTTTAAAAGGGTTTCGTTGTAGTTGCTTTTCACCGTGTGTTCTGGGCCTTACTCAACTTACAAATCGATCGGCATACATTATTTGTGTAAAATAAGTTTTCCCAAAGATAAATCTTTCTATTCACAGGTCTACCCCTGGCTTTATCTAACGCCCACTTCTTATACGGTGATTCCAAACTATTTGAACGAGTTGAAGGCTTGAGTCCCAATGAAGAACAACATGGCAGTAATTTTCTTATTGAACCGGTAAGAAAACATTAACATTCTATTAATTTAAGAATTGTTTTGTTATTGTAATAAAAATGATTTTCTGATTTCAGAGAATCGGCATAGCACTGAAGTCCGAGTTTAGTGTCCAAGTTAATGTGGTGGTGAACAAAGTTGACTTCAACAAAGAAGTCGAACGCTTCTCCGAATTCGTCGTACCGATCTGCTACTTCAAAATGGTGAGAATTGACTATTTTTCCTGGCTGTTTCGCAGCTGTCTATTAATTCTGTAAGACCTTATATTTGGCTATTTTTATTGGTTTCAGGTGCAACCTGAGCTTCTGGAAGCTAACAAGTACAACCTAAATCTTATGTACGTCATCGGCCCTGCCATAGTGTTAAGTCTCCAAATATTCCTGGTTCTCCTAGGCTTGCTGATCCTGGCCTATTGCGTCTATCTATTATTGCCACACTTCGTCAGGAGTTCAGGCCAAGGCATCATCTTCCAGACGTCCAAAGATAATAAATCACCAGCAACTAAGCTACCTCTGCTAGGGTCACGATAGAAAAAGCCTAGGTTGGGAATACTAGTCTTTAATTAGGTTTTTTAATTGTTTAGGGAGTGGTGTACATTCATGGTTCAAATATATCTAACTATATCTATAAAAGCGAAAGGTCACTGACTCACTCATTACGAAATCGCTAGGAGTTTCAAATTTTGCATGGGGGTTCCTTTTAAAACGTAGGTGCGCACTAAAACGGGATTTTGCAAAATTCGACCCATAAGGGGGTAAAACGGGATCCACGCTTACGAAGTCGTGGGCGGCCGCTAGTTGTAAATATTGTTGATAAGTTGGTTTAGTATACGATTGGTAGGTACATAAGTATTAGACATTTTATTAAGATTATTGTGTGTAGATAAGTGACCCGAATTAGGATATAACTAAGTCTCCTGTGATTTATGTTGTTAAACAACATTAGTTAAAATAGATTAATTTGGAATAAGTTTAGATAGATCTACTTGATAAAATTAATTGTGATGGTATAGTTAGTTAGCACAAGAATTAATTGCCTTTACGCTTACTTAGTATCTTCTGTAAAAATGAATAAACGGTAGTAAGTATTGAAATGTCTTTATTTTAAGATACAAAAATGTATTATTATCATAAAAAAATACAATATAAATAAATTTTAACACATTCATACCTCCCCAATTTTATGGGACCCTAGACTCGGAAGAAATCTGCATAGTAGTCTAGCGACGCGTCTTCGTCCGAGGAATCCGAGCTAACGCTCGTGTTATCGTCGTCACAACTGCTGGATGAGGGCCTCTTCCTTCGCCGCCTGTCCCTCTTGAGAAACTCGCGGAACTCTCGTAGCGGCGGGTGGTCGTGGACCACCGGCTCGTACACAGTCCGCACAGGAACTATCACAGGCGGCTGAGCTGGCATGAACGGCATCGGCATTGCATACGGAGGTGCTACAGGCACTACCGAGTTTATCGGCACTGGTTCTATGCCATTTTTCGATTCATCATCACCATCTATCATGGTGATGCCCTCCCAAAAAAGTATCATGAAACAAACAGACCACGGGTTCATGCTGCTCAAATTCAGAACTAATAATGCATTCGCAAATTCAATGCCAATAGAGATTGTATGACCAGTACTCGTTGTGCCCACGTAAGCAGCTAATGAATAGCTATTGTTAACATACAGTCATTTATTATGTAAGTTTTAGCGAACGAAGAAATATTGAAGAATGCTTAATGGTTTATAGTTTAATCTATGTTCACATAAAAAAGTATCACAATATTACTGAACATTAACTGCTATCGTCTATCGGCTACTTGGAAGGACACTGACAGATTTGTGATTTTCTTATCCACTGGAGGCTTAAAAATAAGTTCTTTCCTGCCTGCCTTTAATTTCCGATTTATAATGCCACTCCGTAGTACAACGTGTCTTTTTCTATCACCACTAAATTCCTCGTCTTCACCGGCAGACACCAATAAAACGTTTGACTTTGGATTTCTTCCGCGACCTGTTACGATGTCGTATTTTTGTCTCCTTCTTCCATCGTCTATCTCGTTATCGTCCACCAGTCGCTCCGCCTCATTATTACTGAGCCTTTTTCTTATTTTTATGTCTCCATTGTTAGCAAGATACGTTAGTACTGGCTTAATGACTTCGCCATCACTAAAATCACTTAGCTGTCTATTGCGCCCCATGCGTCTATTCATCCATTTCTTTCCCCTCCACCTCCTTAGCCGGCGGCGTCTCTTTGCGCGAACATACCAACCTGCAGAGCTGTCGGAGTCAGTATCACTACCACAGCCCTCACTTGAGTCACTTGATGTTACTGGTCGTGGTCTCGGCCGCCGGCGTATCAGCGGTGGCACGGGGACCATCATAATCGGCGGAGGCGGTGGCGGCAGCATTGGGGCGGGCATGGCAAACGCGGGCCCTGGGACTGGCTGTGGTGGGACTAGGGGCTGGGGCATAGGTGCATCCATACCGTTGCGGCACCTACATTTTTGGTGACATGGTGAACAGTATGAAAAGAATGATGGAGTGCAGGATGGCATACAAACACAAGGTGGGCAGGGAGGGCAGTTTTTGGGCCTGGGTTTAGCTTGACAAAACTGTGGGGGTGGATGTGCTGGTATTGCCATTTGTACCGGCATGGGAACCGGAACGGGGTAGGCGAAAGCGACAGGGCTCTCTGTTGTTGTAGTTGTGGTTGTCTTGATTACTATGGGTATAGGCATTGCGACTGCCACCTGAATTGGAGGTGGTGGTATCATTACCGGGGGCGGATATACTGGTACATGAATTTGCATAAAGGTACTCGTAATCAGAAGTTGAATGATGACTATTTTCACCCATATCTGCTGTGACCTGAGAGAGTCCTGCAATAATAATATAACAAATAAAGTTTCGAAATATTAAGCATTATTTTTTGTAAATTTTATGTATAGAAAGTTCTTACATAAACCATAACTGTGCCGTTCAATAAATTTTGTACGTAAAAATCGTACTTCTCATGGCGGAAAATGAGTTTTATACCGACGTATTTGTTACATAACTCGACTATTGTGTAGTGAGCAAAACGAAAACTATTTCAGAGTCGACTATTTCGTAACTTACTGCCCTCGTAAAACCACCAAGCTAAAACCATGCTGCTGATATGATTGCAAGTAAATAATTCACAGGTACATTACTTTAGAATATAAATTCAACGTAAAATAAAAACATTGGTAAAGCCTTCATGGTTTCCTTGAAAATTTTCAATAGAAATACAGTCTAAGACTAATTTTTATCATTTTTTTTTTGCAAATATACGAGTAATGAATTGGTTAGTTTGAGAAGGGCCGGGGCAATAACTTAGGATTGCCTCGCACAAAAAGTTTATGTAAGTTAACTATGTAGTAGTAGAGGTGGGCGCCACGCCGGCGCGCCGCCGCCGCCGCGAATTTTTTCACGCCGCCGCCGCCGACGACCAGCTGTCGGCGCGCCGATACTGATACTGTACCAACTATTTGCAATTTATTTATTCCTCTCCTATACTGTACTTTATGGATTTGNGACAAAATTTTCTCTTTTAGCTGCAGAGCTGGAGCACCCTAGGACTCTATACTTGGTCCGGTATTCGATAACATTTACTAGTAAAGTAGCCCAGACACCAGAAAGCTGCGGCCTTCCTCAAATGTAACTGTGATCTTAAAGCGACTAGACTATTGCAAAGTCAGCTAAATGCCACTAATGCTTGACTGACGCAAGTGGCGTATGTAATCAAGCCCCGAAGTCTCACCATGTTATCATTTAAGACGTGAAACTTATCCCCTGGCCAATCTAGACCTCGACACATTACTGCAATCAACCTGCATTAAAAACCTGGACCGTAGGATGACACGGAAAGACCATATTAATATAAATAAAACAGATCTGAACATAATATTCGACCCACAGTCAGCTAATCCAACATTAACTATGTGCCTCCAAAGAGTTCAAAAATACATGTTAAGGTTACTTTTATCGGCACATTGATACGCTGGCCTTTAGGAAATACACGAAAACCTGATCTCAGCCAAGCCCGCTAATCAAATATCAAGGTATCTATGATCAAAAGAGCTAATTTACAAGAGTAAACCTTTGCGGCAGTGGCTCTATCGTGTCAAACCCCAACTAACTGCAATCCACCTGATTAAGTCTTGGCGAAAGATACTAAAAAAGCCAATTTTTTTAAAAATACCTAATAAATAAAGGTCAAACAAGGTCACGCCGCCGACGCCGCCGCCGCCGAAGTCAAAAAGTCGGCGCGCCGCCGCCGACCAATTTTATATCGGCGCCCACCTCTATGTAGTAGGTAGGTAGCTGCAAAAACGTACCTACTGTTAATAGTACTTTTAGACCATTAAGTATCTGGTTTTCATAGCTTTCAAAATCAAAAATCAAAATCAAAAATATTTATTCAGTTTAGACCACAAGTGGCACTTATGAACGTCAATAGAAAATAATAAAAAAAGAAAAGGTAGCCCTTATGGGGCACTTTACATGTCTCCTTATCTTTTGGGCCCTACCAGCATTTGCATAGCATAACAATTTTAAGACTTATTCCGTGTAAAATGTTGGCAAGACGAGCCATGTGGCTCGCACTGTGAAATGGTTATTAGATTTCATGTAGAATCAAGCTAAAGGTAGCGGGAAGGCGCTGGATGCAGGCCGCCACCAACCGGCCATTGTGGAAATCATTAGGTGAGGCCTATGTTCAGCAGTGGACGTCCAATGGCTGAAAATGATGATGATGAGAGCCAAGCTTCTACATGAAAATATTTTTGGTGGGATTTCACTTCTTTTTGTAAGTTGCTGGGAAAACCCTTACCAATTTTCATGCCTAAATTTAAATATTTTATTATTAACAAGGAGTCCCTATATAATTTTTTAATATCAGTATCAACATTTGCAGGACTCATACAAACTTCCATCCCCTATTTCAATGTGATGCGATGCGATGGGTGTTGCATTGATTCTCTAGGAAGCAAGTCTATCACTTAAGTAGGACTTTATATTGTTTTTTTCGATTGAACTCTTTCCTATAACGACCTGTCCTGCACAGCCCGCATCCAGGTACTTACCTCCCGCGACCTTCATCAGATCGTCGGTCAACCTAGTGGGGCGTCCACACTACGCCTTCTACTTCTACGTCTAGTACTAAACTCTTTCGGTAAATAGCCCAGTTCACGATATAATGTTCCAGACCCAGTATTTATATTGGGGGAGGCACATAGGTGTGGATTGCTTAGGATATCAAGTACTTGTCTTAATCCGGCACTGAATATCATACTTGCAGTATGTGAGGATGTTTAGGTCTTTTACCAGTTTCTGCAGCTCCAATGTACTAAAATGTGGCGAGTGCTCTGGCTAGTTCAGTGATTCGTCCCACAACAGGTTCGTCCCACTGGCACTGGGACGAAACACTGAATTCAAAAAAATCTATATTTTTCGGATTCGTCCCATTTAATTTATTCTTTAACATAACGAGATTTAGTACTATTTAAAAGGATATCAACATAGAAAATCTTACTGCGCTGTGGTATTAATAAAATACTATGTATTTACCACAAACCAGATGACAATGCATATTATGTTGAGATAGACCTGATGCTGCCACCAAAGCCACCTGCAGACCACCCAAGTCCTCAATGATCTACACTACAGCAACCATGATTCTGGCTGGGCTCATACATTTAAAGCTTGTTTTAAAAACGAATTTTTCCTACCTATTTTTTTATTTATATATTATTATAAACTACTGTGCCCGCGACTTCGTAGGCGTGAAAACCCGTTTTCGCAACATTTTTCATTTTTGCTCTGCACCTATTACTCGTAGCGTGATGGTATATAGCCTATAGCCTTCCTCGATAAATGGGCTATCTAACACTGAAATAATTTTTCAAATCGGGCCGGTAGTTCCTGAGATTAGCGCGTTCAAGTAAACAAACAAACTCTTCAGCTTTATAATATTAGTATAGATAAAGTATAGATTATTACGAGTACCTACACTTGAAGCACGTATTTTTTGTAACTTCATCTCTGTCCTGTATCCCTTGTGACACTGAGCCACCTTGAGATTCTAACCTACAACCATATTTAATGATAATTTAGTAATTTGAAGGGGTCGAACTGGCTGACTCGTGATCCGGGGAACGCTGGTTCGGTCCCCGCCGTTTTGCTCGACTATTGTAATGAGCTCACTCAAATTCAAATTCAAATTCAAACTCGTGATAAAAGCATATTTATTTAGCTTAGTGCGACGGGCTAACGACTTTACACAAAAAAAAAATGTTGTTCGTTAGGATACTACAGGTCAGGGGGATGATACAGTTTTCGTTTTCACCAAAATTGGTCCCAAAACTTCTTTGTAAAGTACTTATGTTTCGGATTTGAGAATTACAATGCCAGTAATGCATGATAATAACAAATGATATGTGAGCTTCCAGCTATCACTTTTACAAGATACTTACTTAAATGCCTAAATTACTTCTTATGAAAATGATTCGTATTTTGTAGGAACCGTGAAATACAGTAGTTTGGTACTCCTATAAAATATTGAGAAAATCAATGTACATAAAAAAGAATAGGTCAAAAGTCATATCCTGCTGCTGACAATGGATTTAATAAAAGATTAACAAGAAGTTTTAAGCATTAACGTACATATATTTGCGTAAAAATAAAAATTATTTGTTTCACAATTTTCAAAACATTTAATATCAGTATTATACCTACTCTTTATTAGCTACTATATAAAAATAAAAAATGATGTATTTTATAAATTATCTGTTGGAGTTTCGTCTTTTTCATCATCTGTGTTCCGACTTCTTAATTTATGAGGAAAATGTCTTTTTGGCGCTCTGTGACTTTGAACTTCTGTTTGCTCTTGGCTTTTAACTTTACCCTCATTCAGAATTTCAACATCTGTATTCATTCCGTGACGTTCAACTAAACCATTGTTCATATTGTTATTAAAATTTTGTAATTCTGCAGTTTCCGGTTCAAGCTCAGCAGCCTCCTTTTTCAAACTCAACCAGTCCTTTGCTTCATCTTTTGAAATCTTCTTCTCGTAAATCACATACCCATCTTTGGTCACATACTGTAATACAGGCGTGAGGAGGTCCCTTCTGTTGTGTCTGTGCCTTTTGGACTTGTGTTTTCTGTTCATTCGACTACCCATTCTGTTCATTCTCCTTCGAAACCCTCGACTTCCTCTCCACACGCCGCGCTCTTCAGAACAAAAGTCGCAATCTTCGTCAAATGAGGTGTCAGTATCACTGCTTCTGTCATTGTCATATCTTGGTGGTCTTCTAGTATGGAATTCAAGTATTCTTTTGTTTTTTTCTCGTAATTTTTTGTAGGATGGGTCGGGTGAGTAGAACGGCATGACGATGACCGGGAGTTTGTGAGGTGAACCTCCGCCTGGCATGGGCATTGGCATGGGTCCTGGAATACCTGGAGGAAAACCAGGCATACCGGGAGGAAGAGGTGGCATGCCGGGTGGAAGACCTGGGATGCCGGGAGGAAGGCCTGGCAAACCTGGAGGAAATCCTGGCATACCTGGTGGAAGGCCTTGCACACCTGGAGGAAGTGCAGGAACGGGAAACGGAACAGGAGCCGGGAGTTTACCCGGAGGAGGACTATGAAAGTAATCTGGTGGAATGGTGGGGATTCCACCGATCGGCAAGCGACAGTGCATCGGTAGGTGTTGAGGGAAGAACTGCATATTGGTCGGACATAGTGGTAGTTCTGGTTCCTTTGCTTTTATTTTAACGACAGTTATGAGGAGAAACAGAGAAAGCGAACGTCTGTTCATCTTGACCTGCAACAAAAGAAATTATAGGTTTAATTCATGTCTTTAAATAATTTTGGAAGTAAAATTGTTTCAAAGATAAACTTACCGTTTAATTCTCAGCAGGTCCTCCATCAGCGGTTTCTTGGTAATTAATACTGCACTGGCCATTATTGTTGTCCTTTTTGTAAACTTTCCAGGCCGAAATCAGGAGGAAACAATAGGTTTATGTAATCACAATGCTAATCTTTACATAATTAGCTTACAATAGGCTCGATTGTTGGGAGCCATGTGGAGCCTTACATGAGTAAGTACATTTGATACCTTATGTAATCAATTTTAGCCTGGATATGTACCTACATAAGTAATTTACGAACACACTGATAAACAATAGTAGCCCATTACATCCATTTAGTTAACATGAATGAATGAGTTTATGTTTTTCCATACTTAATCCAGTATTTCCTAAAAATAAACAACTGAAATTACAGCACAATAAACTTATGTAATATACTTTGAGATGCATTGAGTAACCACTCCCGCTGGCCTATTTATTGACCACGAAACTTGTTTTCCAATCAATCGCCCGTAACCTTTTACAAACGTTGCTACTGCGCCTTATTGATTTACCTTCTCCATGTTAGAAGTGAAGAAGTCAAGATTTTGTGGTAAGGAACTTAATTTTGTAATTTCCTGGCGTGTGGGTTGGGAAGAGACTTAGGAATTGAGGAAAAGTTGCCGAGAAAAATTACTCTAGAATATTTCCGAGAATAGGGCATGAAAAATAAAGGGTGTACTCGTAGTAATTGTTATAGAGACCTTGTCTGTACATACAAAATGTTGGATTATTCGTTTTTAATTCATTTTCGTGACCTACTTACATACAACGTCTCTTATTAGATACCTAGGCTATGCTATGCATCTTCATCGATTCGAAATCAAAAGTCGTCTACAGGTTCAATTTATTCGAATTCTTTTTTGTTTCAGATGCATCTATCCGTTATCCATGTTATTATAAGCGTACAAGTTTTTCATCAAGCGCGGTTACAATTTATGCCTCCTATGCCGTACCCAATGCCTATGGGCATGCCAGCAGGGCCAGTGCCAGCACCTATGCCCCTACCCATGCCTTTAGGCATGCCAGCGGGACCAATGCCAGCACCTATGCCCATGCCCATGCCAATGCCACTGCCACTGCCAATTCCCCAGCCGAGACTGCCAGTTGTAGTCATGCCCTACTACTCTAAAGCAAAGAAAAGAAGACCTGCCAAACGCTATAGAAAAAGAAGACCCAGAAGGAAGTATGTGAGCTCTTCTTGCGAAAGTTCTGACACGGATGTCTCGTCATCTTCAGACATCGACTTCAGAGCGTCCCAGAGGAGGAGTCGACAGGTGCTGACTCCTGTGGTGTCATACATGACGAAAAACGGCTACGTGGTTTACCAGAAGAAGATAAAGAACGAAAAAGCGAAAGACTGGCTGCGAACGAACGGAGGTGCTGAAGAAATTAGAGACGAAGACCTCACAGAGCAAGATTTGTGGAAGGAGAAGCTCTCTAAGAGGAAGCGACGTCATCATAATCACTGATTTTATAATTTTGGTTTTTATATTTAATAATAAAAATAGTAGATGTAACGTTGTCCAGTATTATTTTATAATAATAATAAATAATAATAAAATCATTTATTTGCAAGAACATGGTTACAGATTGGATTGGTGATCCTTTTAAAGGATTGCTTAGGCATTCTTTTCAGAGCGCCTCATTGGCCTCATGATGTATTACCTAAGTAATGTGGTAGAATAATTACAAACAATGGCTCATAAGTTATATAAGTTAACGTAGGAATAAACGCTGATTGTAACAGTCTTATAGCCATATTTGCCATAGTTGGTCTACTAATAGTCAAAGTTTGGAGCATTGCTTAGCATAGTAAGTAAAAATTAGTCATTAAATAAAAATAAAATAACGAAAACAACTTAGTTTGAGGACTTTTGATACCTAAACTTATAAAGTAAAAAATACCCAAATTCATAAACCTCATGATATTTTAGGTTTTATCTTCAATTTTGCATTTCACATTTCATGCACTGAATTAAATGTTTATATGTGTATTACTAGGTAAATATTAGAAATAGACCAAGGAAATAGAATAAAACGATAAAAAAGGATAAAGTAAAAAAAGCTACCATTAATTAGGTACACTAGCGCCATCTGTTTAATATAACTAATGAATTACCTTTCAGATGCAGCGACTATTAATAATATTCCTTCTGTTCTACTCGATGAGCTGTCTCGAAGCCCTGAGCTTGTACAGGGACTGTGTGGACTGCAATTCTCCTCAAGAGTACAGGATCAGTATCAAGCACTACTGGCCCTTCCAGCCTGGCTACAAGCTCGATTCACCTGACTACGTTTGGCCATTATTCTTTACGGGCTAAGTAAATCTGAAAAAAGACATTGGAAAACGAATATTGAATCAAGTGCATAATAATATAAATTCGTATCATTGGACTATAATAAATTGGCATACATACATGGGAAGGAGGAACCGTAGTTAATAAATGCAAGTTTATAGGCATTTATAGGTATCCTGCCGAGCAAGTTGAAATACTTTTGATCCTCACCTGTTATTTTGGCGGGACAGAGTCAGCAGTCAACAGGAAGTACCAAAGAATGAAGTACACCATTCGTTCAACGAAAATGTCATCATTCGTTCATTACTAGGTATGTGCCACAGATATGGATTAGAGTAGATACAGCAAGTTGATCGTCAAAGCGTGCCATTCCGATATGTCCAAATGGACATACATGGTCGAGTGATGTTCATGTAATCCGATTACAACAATCGGTTACGATGATTTTACGAGAACAGTAGTACGAACACAGTAGAAAGAAGATATTATTTACGGATTGAGAATTGTAATTAACAGCACAAGTAGCAAATAATTAATTAGAATAAAGTAGCAGTAGAAGAAGTATAAAGTAGCATTGTTTTTAATACATATCCTGCGATGTACTCTTAAGAGTTAAAACCATGGTCCCTGTATGTGGTGCACTCATACCGATCCCAAGGAACCGTACTTACTCATAACAATAAGACACACACTGATCCATGTATTGATGCACTTGACTTTATGTCTTGAAACGCTGGTAGGGTAAAAAAAATAACGAGATTTGACGAATTGTAAGAATTACTTTATTTTAAAAAGGTAAATAAAGATGCTTTTAGTTTTGTATTTAACAAATTATCAGTTTTATCGGAATTAATTAATTTTCGAATCGAGTCACACGATATCATTCGATGACTTTGCGAATGCAGTACGATGATACGATTACTTTTACGTTGCGGCAATCACTAAAATTCGCTAAAATGACACTAATGACGTTTAAAAAGTGGCACGCTCGGCTTCATACAATTTTTGACACATGCTGCATCTATCCATATCTGTGGTATGTGCAATACAATCGAGTTAACTGTAAGTCTGAGAAAAAATAAAAATCATTTGTCTGAGATAATAAATTGTATAGCCCGACCAGGAACATAAAAACCCTCGCCATGTTGCGGAAAACTAATGGTACTAATTTATTTTAATGGCAACAGTAACTGAAAACTTCATTGACATGTCACCTTGCATGTCAGTCTATTGCTGTCAAAGTGTAAACAAACTTTATTTTATATATGCGCAATTGATTTTGTGAATTAAATTGCTAAAATCTTTTTATAGTGGTGAAAGAAAAGTGGTTCACAATGTGTTAAAGTATTTGTCGAAGAGAAATACTAAGGTTTGGACAATATTTTCATTGAATAATGTTTCCGACAAAGGTTGTCAAATTGACTGACATGTTTATCGTATAGTACNACCATCCTCTTCACGCGAGTCTTATCCTGGTGGCAGCCAAATTATCAGGGAATCAATGATTAAACGCGGTGTACCTCAAGAATCCTTAAATATAATGATGGCTTCTCTTGCAAAAAACACATTGAATCAATACAATAGTTCCATAAAATCCTGGTGGCATTTTTGCAAAGAGAATAACTTAGACGTTTACGAGGCTAATAGTTCAACAGTATTATCATTCCTTACCACAAAATTTGAAGAGCAATATACTAGTTACAGCAGTTTAAACACTCATAGATCAGCTTTGTCACTAATTTTAGGTACAGAAGTAACTGTTAATGATTACATTAACCGTTTCCTTAAAGGTGTTTATAGACTTGCTCCCCCAAATCCGAAATATAATTCAACATGGGACACAAACATAGTGTTGAATCATCTATCTAATATGTATCCTTACGATAATATCCCATTAGCTGATTTGTCACATAAAACTTGCACACTTTTGGCTATTGCTTCCGCTCAAAGAATGCAAACTATTAGTTTAATCAAACTGAATAATATATCAAAACAAGACAATGCCATTGTTATTAAGATCACCGACTTGATAAAAACATCGAGGCCCGGTTCTTGCCAACCACTCATCAGATTGCCATATATCCGTGAAAATCCCAGTATTTGTCCCGCGTTGGCTGTTGAAACTTACATAGCAAACACCTCTTCTTTGAGACA